ACACACACACACACAAACTCACAAGGTTAATCAATCAATCAATCAAATTTTATTTGTATAGCCCATATTCACAAATTACAATTTGTTTCATAGGGCAAGAAACAGCCCTATAGTATTACAGGGTAATGCACACTGAATTTCAATTTCTACCAATGCTTTAACACAATGGCAGCATTTAATATGAACTCAATAAGGGAGCATCTAGAGAGTTTGGTCGAATTTATCATTTTTTTAAGAAGCTGTGACTTGTAATTTAAGGATCTTCATTCTCTATTTCAAGTATTGACTCGGTACAAATAACAAAAATTGATTTATTATCATCTAGTATTATTGAATAATAGCTAGAAATGACAAGTAGTTGAGTTTGCTTAACAGTGAACAAAAGAGCAATGTGATAAGTTGGGGGATGGTCGAAAGAATATGTTTAGAATATGTATTTGAAGTCTATATGACTAAATGATTCAGCAGATTTTGCTTGTTGCCCAGTTTTTCCCTTTGCTTGAAGTTCAATTCAATTTTAGACTCTCTATCAACCAACTGCCCACAGTTCTACAATGAAGCAATGGTCCAAAACAAAAAGATAGAAAGACCTTATATGTTATTTTGTGCATGTAAAAATATATTTTGTTCATTAAGAAACTGTGGTGGGACAAATAAGACTATGGTGGACCACCACAACCAAAGCAATCAATGGCAAACTGTATCTGTAACTGTATAATGGACATTTAAAGTGTGTGACTACCTCATGCTGATCAAGACATCTCCATTCCTAAAGATGAAGAGCAGAATATTGTCCTGTGTGACATCATGGAAGTTGGCATGTTTCTCGTTGGCAAAGAAAAGGTCTGGTTTCCACAAACACTGGAACATCTTGGGATCAACTGTTAGTGCTTCACTCTTAAAGTCTGTTGGAAGTCGTAGGCGCGGGTCATTCCATCTCTGACGAAGAAATATATTTATTCTGTAGTCCTACAGAAAGAGACATTGTATTAATAATTTTCACATGGAAACCACTGCTATTTCTAGGACTAGTCCTTGTACCATGGCACTAATAATGATAATAATAAGGATAATAATAATAATAATAATAATACCACATTGTGTTTTACCAGTGGGAAATGGTTGGGTCCCCCATATTATGAAATGAATTATTACAATTTCCTTAGTGATTTCTAGCAGTAGCTGCACAACAGTGATTCATTATTTGAAACAAAAAGAAATTCAAAACAAAAACTAAACCTGACAGCAATGTTAAACAGGCTGTACTTCTATGCATTTGTAGCGCTGGTGGGATGCAGACTGACACAGCTGTGAACTTTTGCAACTACTAAAGATGTTATTTTCTGCATGGGGCACAAGACAGCAAGAATGATGCATTGAATATCATACATTATATCATATCAATGTCATCGGGAAGGCCTGTTAAGCATGTGACAAGTACATTGTAGGTGGTGCTATGACTATGACTGAATGTTACTGGACTCTTATCAAATGTGTGAAGTTCAGGATAGATTGGATAATACCTGTATATAATAGAGTTACAACAACTTTCTCTTTATTGGAAAAACATAGAAATGAACCAAACTGTTGATCAAATACTAAAAACTTTAGAGCTCTGGCTTGAATAATAAAAGCGTCCTCACACTCGATGATCTTTAAGTGTGTTTGTGGTGTGTGCATGTCTCACCATAGTTGTCTCCTGGATGGACCCAAAGCTATTAATGAAGATGTTTACCCTGGACTCAACTGGGATACCTTAAACACACATACACACGAGATAAAATTGACAATTCCATTTAATGTAAAACCAGTTGTCCAGTTGTAAAATCAGACTCAGGTGTAGTCCTGAACCTATAACTGGTTTAAAATGGTTTAGCAGACTGGGAAACTCACAGATCAATTGCATGCATTCCAAATCACCTCACACGATGCCAATCAGCCTGTTGGAAGTGGAGATCAAGTGACTGGGGTCACATGGACTGAAGCACTTACCTGAGAGCAGACATTCAGTTTACCTGCACCTTTGTTGAAGAGTGTTCTATGTTCAGTTGCAGAGTGTGTTATGTAAGTAGTTAATTTCAATATGTTGCATTTGATTAAGATTATGATTTGATTGCCTAGAAATGTTTGATTCTGAGCTGTATATTGATTTTGGGAATCTAGATTATGATTTGTACCTGTTTTTTTTATTGTAGAATATTAAACCACAATTGAGAGATTTATTCACCATGACTATGTAAAGCTTTAAAATGGATCTGAAATCTCCTACTCCTCTTTGATGATTCCCATCCACTATAGCATTCTGAATAATGCACACATGAGGGACAGACCCGACAGAAAAAAGGAGGATAAACAGATAGTGATAAGTGAACTAGAATTTGGTGGTGAATTTAGATGTTGCAGATGAATACCCCTCACCTCACCCTCCCCTTCCAAACATAAAAAAACCTTGGTAGCCTTCAAGTTTCATGAAAACTCAAAAGGTGTTTAGTTTGTTAGTCTGGACGACTGTAAAAAACATGGCGGCCTCTGTAGAGAGGACCCCCTCCCGATGTAAATATAAAGTATTTTAATATAAAGGGGCAATTCCTGGGTAAAGAAACCTCATATGTATAATTTAGATGAAACACACTAGTGAACAATGGCAGCTGGATAGCATTTTGTTTTGCCTCTGTAAATGGGCCTGTAGGAGTATGTTCGGATGGTACCACTGCAGTTGCACACATACTGGCACACTATTTTGCAAGAGACATTATAATTTGAAAAGCATGTATTCATGGCCATTAACTTGGTTTAAGTCCAACTCTCCCCCTCCATTGCTGCAAATCTGGCTATAGAATTTCGACAAATTTGCAAGATTAAAAATAGATTTTCTAAATGGGAAATCATTGATTGGGACAGGATTTTAAATCACTGACCTAACTTACAAACATATTTATTCATGTTTACAACTGATACTCAATTTTTCAAAAGCATTTCAGGGTAGTTTTAGCTTTATAAATTTCTATACATTTGACGAAAGGGGAGGAGGTCAGGTTCTAGCCAGAACAGCATCTTGGTGACTAACCACTGAATACTTGCAATGAACCAGAACTTAAAATCTAACCAGCCAGAGGTAGGAATCAAAGAAATATGCCAAATGTGAAAAAATGTCTATTCCTGTTTTCTGCTATGACAATTTTAGTGTGTGTGTGTGTGTGTGCGTGCACGCGTGTCTGTGTGTGAGAGAGAGAGAGAGCCTAGTCGGTCTTCATCCCGTTCCAAATCATTCTGCACACATGGCACTCTTCCAGTAATCACTGCTGCAGTACTGAGGCCACAGCTCATCACTCTTCTCTCCACTAGACTGTTGCAGCAACAACACTATAGCCTTATTCAGCCAGATTCACATTCCCCTACCTGCCCATTGATCCTGTGGTGTGCAGTTGTAACTAAGTTGTCTCCTTTGGTGTTGAAGGTCACAAAGAGGCAGCAATATTAAAATGAGACATATTTTGTGTTTCATAACCAGTTAAAAACTCCATGTAGTAGGATATGTTTAAGGACATGCTAATTACAACCAATAATTTTCTAATTCGTTGACTGCTATGTAAAGATTTCAACATGATGAAACTATTATTAAATCAGTAAATCAGTTTGATGTTATATTCAGTTGTGGGTGAATAGTGAATGTAAACTTGCCAATGCTGAACCAGTGGTTACATGTCACAAATCCTCTTTTAATTAAAAAATAATTCTGATTCTAAATGAGCACATACAAGGTCACCGTTCATCCTGTGGGTTCTCTCTGAAAAGAAAGCATGACCAGTGGTAGCATTACCTTGGAAGTTAGGTCTTATTCTTGGGTCATAACTGACCATCAGACGGTTCAAGATGTTGGAGGTGGAGTTAGCTGGAACCTGGGCCAAATCTTCTGGGGACAACTGGCTGATAAATATGATATTAAAGGGAAACAGATGGAAATAGGCTTGATTAAAATCTAAAACAATGGGAAGATTGCAAGGTTGCACAGTTTCTTTATTCATTTAGACAATACAAAACAAACTCAATGTGAATGAGTAACATAACTATTTTTCCCCCTTCCTCTGGATAGTCTCCTTGCTGACGTCTGATTATGTTCATTCCTTTAAGTCTCCTTAAAGTCTCATCTTTAAGCCTCAACTTTCAGTGAGTGGATTGATTGTTATTGATTGAACATAATTTGAGGACCTACACTTTTCATTGACCTATTCATTTACTGTATTTCAAAAAGTATTCTGCTAATCAGTGAAATTAAACATGTATGCAGTTTTCTTCATTCCACAAATTGATCGGATCACACCCTTTTCTTCCAGAGTCCGCTTAATTTTTATAAAACAGATGCAATCACATTTCTATTCAACTAAGACAGGGCCAATCACAACCACTTATTTTTAATATTTTGCTGTGACTGACAGGTGAGTACCACTTCATAAATAGTCAAGATGGCTTAAGCTGATGTGGAGAAGTCTGTTGGATCTACAGAACAGTTTTTAATAATCTCTACGGTAAGAAGAACAAGCATCTGCAGGTAAGTGATTACAGAAATGTTTAATGTTGTTACGCACGACATATGTCCATCCAATTTCATCCAGAGGCAGAGGAAGAATTTAAATGACAAAATAAGAAAATGGGAAGTGAGAGGGTCTCAGTATAGTCAGATATGTCTGATATAAAAAAAATATATATATATACAGTATATAAATGTGTGTGTGTGTGTGTCAGAAATAAGTGTGGTATGCTAGTGTTATGGAACAATGACTGAGAAGATAATAAAGAGAAGATGTATTCGGACAATATAGTTTACTTACGATGGACAGACAACTTGCTTGCCTTTCTTTCCTTTCTTTGTGGATTTTCCCTCTTTGGATGTGATCAGTTGCCAACAACACATCATCAACAACATAAAGATCACCAATCTCAATCTTGCAGCCATGGTACCTAAAAGAGATTAAATAGCGGCATAAACACATGCTAGATGTGACACAAAATTCAATATTGACCTTAATCGTTTGGTTACAATGGTCTGTGAATGTGTGTACCAAATGGCCGATTACCCTTGTTTGTAATGTTTGTTTGTAAAAAATAGTGCTATATAGTACAGGCGGTATCCTCTCTGGAGACCCCAACTGATGCCATCCTGCTGATCTGCTAAAACATAAGCATCACCTTAACAATTTACCTACAATAAACAAAATACAAGTTACTCAGAAATTGGCATTAACAAAATTCTGACAAATCTATTATTACATCAATTGTCTATGTATAGAGAATCACATACAATAAATTGTTCTACTGACACAGCAGGAAATAAATTAATAAGTCGCACACAACAGTCACATGCACAGTCACACGCAGCACAGTCGCACGCAGCACAGTGCATCTATTAGAAGCACTTTTTTTGTTCTATGAGGGGCAATACAGGCTTCAGCATCTTGCCCAAGGACACTTTGACATGCAGATGGGGAAGACTGGGGATTGAACTGCTGACCTTCTGGTCGGAGGATGACCACTCAACCTCAGCCACAACATTTCTAAACTCCTCAACAGTTTATCAACCAAACGTATCCTAAAACTTCCAGTTACATATGGATGTAGATTTGTACAGTCAAAACAGTCATGACATGTTCTGACCAATGTCAAAGTGTTGCTGAATTAACCTGAATTAATACATAAGTGAATGACTGGGATATTGAGTATATCTGACTATGATCTGATAATCCATTTCAAAACTGAATGATTGAAAACATTGTTATAACTACAGCCTGAAAGTAACAGTATAGTGGAGCTGGTGATGAGCAGTGGTGAAACTGGGAGCAGCCTATTTTTGAAAGGTTTTGTTGAGGATTTACTCATTCGTGAGGGGAAAATGGTGAAAAGAAGAAGAGCTGAAGTGTAAGTAACAACTAAACTAAATTGAATATAAACATGCCTCATTATCGAAGAGATTATGAAGAAACTCCTTCTCAAAACCTACTTCTACAGTTTTTGGTAAGATCCTGTCATTCACCGATGTGTTATTTGGGATTTGTTCTTATGTAAGAACAGAATTTTCACACACCAAGAGCACAACTGACCCAAACCCAACAGACAATTTCAACCAATCTATCACATTTAATTTGTATAGCCCATATTCACAAATTACAATTTGTCTCTTAGAGCTTAACAAGGTGGGACATCTTCTGCCCTCAACCCTCAACAAGAGTTAGGAAAAACTACCAAACAAAACCCCTATAAACCTATAAAGAGAGAGCCACATGTGAAGAATCCTTCACCCAGGACGGACAGAAGTGCAATTGATGAACACAAGAATGAAAATTACAATATTTATTTATATTTGTTAGAAGAAATATCTTTTCAAAATATTTGTCTGAACAACAATTCTCGTGTCGGGTATCCACAGATGCTCAGCTGATGAAATAAGTTAACTCATATTATAAGGAAAAGTCAGAAAGAATATTAGAAGATAATATTATATAGATAATAACAAAAACAATATAAAAGGAATATGGCGTATATTAAATAGAATTATAGGAAATAGTAAGAGACAAAGGATAATGAAACTTACTATATGGATGACATGGCTAACCATTTCAATTAATTATTTGTAAATGTTTGATTTGACCGAGCATAAAAGCTATCTCCATCTATGGAGAGCTGGAGAAAAAATTTATACGATTTTGGAGAGAAATCCCAGCTCAATAATTCTCAAACCAGTAGATGAGAAAGAACTGCTGGATATTGTTACAAATGTAAAAACGAACAATTTACTGATTGTAATGATGTTGGTGACGAATGTCATTGAGGGGATTTCAAAACCATTAACATACAACTGTAACTTATCGTTCCAAACCAGTTCATTCCTAAACAAAGTGAAAATAGCTAAGTTCCTACCTCTGTTCAAAACTGGGAACAGACACCACTTCACGAACTACACACCGGTCTCTTTGCTTCCATAGTTCTCAAAAATACTAGAAAACTAAAGATTGGACACGTTCTAAGAAAAATACAATTTAATCACCAGCAGTCAACACAGATTCAGATCAAACAGATCAACATCACTGGCAATAATAGAGGCAATTGAGGAAATCACAAATGTTACAGCTCATAATAGATATGCAGTTGGGGTACTCCTCGATATCAAGAAAGCATTTGACACAATCAACCATGGTATATTGCTCAATAAACTTAAAGGTACGGTATCAGGAGTATAGCATCAGTGGATCACAAGTTATTTAAGTAAGAGACAACAGTTTTTGAAGTTGGGTAACTACTGTTCAACATGTTTGGACATTGCTTGTGGTGACCCACAGGGGTCAGTGTTGGGCCATTCACTCTTTAGTCTGTATATTATGTAATGATTTATGCAAGGTTTCCAATGTATTGAATTTAGAATTGTTTGCTGCTGATACAAGAATCTTTTTTTTCTTGGGAGAATTTAAGACAACGAATGGAGAACATCACTAAAGAGATGAGCAAACTAATAGATAGAAACATATTATCATTGAATTTAAACAAAAATACATGTTATTTTGCGACTATAAAATAAATACACTTGTACAGATAAAGATAGATGGGGTTGAAATTGAGAGAGTGCAGTAGAGTAAATTTCTCACTATAGCAAAAGATGACAGACTTAGCTGGAAATCACACATTAAACATATAGAAAAGAAAATGTCAAGAAGCATCTCGGTATTAAACAAAATAAAGCAACTTCTAGATCAGAAATCACTCTACATTCTATACTGTTCACTAGTCTTACTATATATAAATGACTGTGCTGAAATTTGAGGCAATAATTACAAAACTTCATTGCAGTCGCTATCTATTCTCCAAATAAGAGCAATATGGATTACACAAATGCATTATTCTTGCAGTCAAATTATTAAAATTCACACACCTTGAGGAATTTCAAAAAAGGTTCAGTGACCAAGAGGGGAGGGCTATAATTTAAGGGAAATTTTCATTTTAAAATTCATAGTATACAAATAACCAGACATTTTTGCATCTTAATCTGAGGAGTAAGGCTATGGAACCATTTGATTGTGGAATTAAAACAATGTCTAAACCTAACGAAGTTTAAAATAAAGAAGAAAGATATCTTATTCACAAGTTGCAGGGATAAAGAAGGGATTCGACAATCACTAGATGTTTGCAGGGGTACTGTTTCTTTATTTGGTCACTTAATATTTATTGTTCCTTATTTCATCTTCCTCTCTTGATTATTAACAATTCAAATTTGTTTATATTTGATTTGGGTAGCTGTATGAGTTTGTGTGGGGGGGGGTAAAGAACAAATTTATAAATTATTTAAATTATTTAGGAAGAAGGAGTGAGGTTAAATGAGTTTGTACTTCTTGTCACTCCTTTTCGAATGTAGATTAGACGTATTGTTTTTTTCTCTTTTTTTACCCTCACTGTTTGCAAATAATGTTTTTTTCTGGTTATTTTTTTTTTTTCACTCATTTTTCTTTTTTTATTAACATGTTCGATGAATGGATGTAAGAGTACACCGGCAGTGCTGTGTTTCAAATGATTTCAAATGTTGTGCTGTCAAGCCTGCCTCTCTCCCTTTCCATTTTCCATCTCCAGTCAATATTTCTATTGACTTCAGATTGGAGATCAAACTATTTTTTTGTTATCAATAACTATGCAACTTTCTCCCAGTACAGGGTTTCACTGAAAAATGTAGCTACATCCCATGAATTGTTTTCAGTTATTTTATACCCACAGCTGACACAAAATACACTTTACACAACACTTTTTCTTACAGTTTGAGTGTATTAAGCCACTGTCATTTTATTTTCGTTCAGACATTCATTAAACTTTTCTTTTCAGTTTCTGTGATTTCTCTGTGTGCACATAACACTGCAGTCTCATGTCCTTTTATAGACATTGACGGCACATTTACCTATGCTAATTGAAAAAATAAGACATGGCATTCATTAATATAAGAACACAGGTGCAAACAGTTCTGCAGTTCAAGAACACATCTTGAATTTTTTTCTTAGGAACATTCTGTAGAACAAATTTAAGAAAAAATGACGTTGGTGAATGAGGCCAACAGTGGCCTGTAATTAATCCAGACATGTATTTTTTAATGGAACTAATGAGAACCAAATTTATATTTTAATGCCTCCCTCCCCCATTCCATGAGTGGAACAGAGAAATTTCTATATGGGTCATGAACATTATTTATACAGGAGGTGTGCCACAGCTTGTCAAACTGGATTGTCAGTCAGGCATCATGACCAGGCCAAGGTCATCAAAGGGAGGCATTCCCTTAGAAAATGTGATCATTCAGACTTAGTCATATCTCTTAAGAAGATTTCGATACAGCAGACCCCCTTCAATCAACTTTATTTTTAAATGCTGAAAATGCATCAACTTGACCTTTTGGAACTCTTCCTCCCTAAGATAGTGTACCATCTGTGTAAAAATATTACACAACTCTCCTGTTCTTATGTACTAATCAGGAGACGCATCAAAAACATTAAGGTTTTAGACAAGGGTTCCCATTATTCTTTTGATACTTCTAAGTAATTCCAGCAGTTTTTATGGCAAAATTAATTATTCCAAAGTCTGCTTGTTTGTTTTTCCTGAATAAACCTTTCCACGTCCTCTCAAGCGATGGTAAAGTAACAATACAGGAGTATAGTCTTTGCCCATACTGCTCACCTCTGAAGAAGATATAGTAACAGTTGTGGAATGTGTAGAATTCTTCCACTGCTTCTTCCACTGTCTTTTTGAATCAAATGAGCTATTTAAATTGCACTGGAGAGCTTATGTAACTAATTAATTAAATAAACTAGTTGCTAGAACTAATGATCAGAGACTAGATCCCCTTTGAGTTAAACTAGTCTGACTGGCTGATGATAAACTCATAGCATTGGGGTTGAAGATTGAACGAATGTATATTAGCTCAAGTCCGTACCATATCA